TTGTTTTGTTTTTGGTTTTTTTGAATGTCCAGAGGACCAGATTGAACTTTTTTGGATTTTTCTACCTGGATTATTGAGCATGCATCAGGATATTTAAAATATATGTATTGATTCATAGAAAAATATTTTTCTTTGTTTTCTCTGTCCATATCTTAAAGGTGAGTTTCAAACATAGTTGCGCGATCTACATTTGAATGTTAAAAATTGTATGGCCATAGAGCATGGTCCGAGTGATTTCAGTGAGAAGAATCAAGTAGATTCTCACAGAGGTCCCTTTGAACAGCTACTCAATACAAAGCAAAGGTCACCCCTTTAAGATGACCTCAGTTTTTTTTGCAATTTGACCAAAATATTCAAAGACTGGCACTATTTTCTCCATCAAACTATGTCAATTGCTACACATACATTATTCACTTGTACAGTTTTAGAACAATGCATCATTGATTTTCTAGCTACAACTTGTCACGGTGCCAGTCTAATCCCAAAATCTGACTGCAAAATGATAAAAAAAACAAAAAAAACATTTGTTACAAAAAATTGGCATACAGATTGGTGCAGCATCTGTCTTATTGCAAACTCTTTGCTGGTCTGTTGTGATGAAGAGGGAGCTGAGCTGTAAGGCAAAGCTCTCCATTTACCTATCAGTCTACATTACTACCCTCACCTATGGTCACAAACTCTGGGTAGTGACCGAAAGAATGAGATTGTGGATACAGGCAGTTGAAATGAGTTTCTTCTGCAGGATAACTGAACTCTCCCTTAGAGATAGGAAGAGAAGTTCAGTTATCTGGAAGAGACTCGGAGTAGAACTGCTGCTGCTCCACTTCAAGAGGAACCAGTTGAGGTGGTTCAGGCATCTGGTAAATATGCTTCTTGGGCATGTCCAACTGGGAGAAGACCCCGGGGAAGACCCAGAACACGATGGAGAGACTATGTCTTGGTTGGCCTGGGAACGCCTTGGAGTCCTCTCAGAAGAACTGGAAGAGGTGGCTGTGGAATGAGATGTCTGGACGTCCCTGCTCAAGCTGCTGCCCCCGTGACCAGACTTCGGAATAGGTGGAAGATAATGAATGGATGGACGCATAACAAAAAAAACCAAAACAAGATGATACATTTTTTTTGAATAAGGATCGATTGCTGATTGCTGAAATGTATCTGCGTGAACAAGATCATACAAAGAAACTGATACAGAGCCAGGATAACTCCTGGTAAACTCAGATGATCATGGTCAGAAATATTTATGTCATGTTATAGCAACATAGGCATTGTTCAGTAACCCTTTGTCTTTGCCTCCTCAGCAGGTCATTTAGACAAATTATTGCGTTTGATGATTATGACTTACAGATAATGAAAAACAATGTTCCGTGTCTCATAAAATTAGAATATTCCACAGCCATCTTTCAGTACCGTTGTCAGTGTGGGCAGGAGCTGAGTCCTGTTGGAAAATGAAATCAGCATCTCTATAAAGATCATCAGCAGAAGGAAGCATGAAGAGCTCTAAAATGTCGTGGTAGATGCTGCGTTGACTGAGGGCTTCAGAAAACTGAGTGTACAAACACCAGCAGAGAACATGGACTCAAACCATCACTGACTGTGGAAACTTCCCTCTGGACTTAAAGCAACATGGATTCTGGACCTCTCTCTGCAGACTCTGGGACCTCGATTTCCAAATGAAATGCAATATTTACTTTAATCTGTAAAGACGACATTGGACCACTGAGCAACAGTCCAGTTCTTTGTCTCCTCAGCAGGTAAGATGCTTCTGATGTTGGCTTTGGTTCAGGAGTGGCTTGACTTCAGGAATGAGGCATTTGTAGCTCATGTCCAGGAGTTAATGAGCTGAGTAACGTGTGACATCATGAGTTTACACCATTGAACCTCTTCGCAATTTTATAATTTTTTGTGATACTGAATTTTGGTTTTTAACATCTATAAGTGAAAAGAAAAATTACATTTTACTTATTCCAGTTTGACATGACTGTTGACGAGGAAGAGGGCCGGCATCGGAGGAGGGGGCGTGCCAAAGACACCATCTTAGCACCAACATAACTGGTTTGTTCCACTTTGGAGTAAGCTGTTTGGGGGAAGACTCAGTTTTGTGTTGGGTGTTTCTTTGACTGATGAATCCTTCCGGATGGAAGGTGAAACGTTTCAGCAAAAAAAGAAACTGTCCAGATGAGCTGACTGAAAATTGTTAGATTATATACCTGGATTATTGAGCATGGACTTTTTTGGAAATAAAGAATTGAAATATTTCACTCTGTGTAATGAATATATGTAATAAATGAGTTTCACTTTCTGAAATTGTTTACTTTTTTCATGATATTCATTTTTTTTTAAATACACCCCTATTTAACTTTAAGATTTTATTTTTAATCCCATTTGTTTAATAGTAACCTCCCACAGAGTTTGCTTTTTAAGTTCACAATGTCCTATTGATCCAAACAGATAGGAGAAATTAAACATGCACACCAGACAAAAACTCAAGTCTCACTACAGTGTACTGTTAGCTCAAATACTTCTATTTACTTCTTTTAATGGCAACAATTTCACTTTTTGGTAGGCCTCAAGCAATGGGTCTCCTGACTGATTTTACAAGATTGTCCTACTTCCACTGCCTTTTGCAGGTAAAATACTTGTCATCCATAACTGCTTAATAAAACCTCAATTTAAAATGACAAACAAACACGGATTCATTTGCCCTCCAACATTAAATTTGAAACCAATATTTAGTAAGTAGGTGAAAATTTGAATGTTTCCTGAAGTGTTTTATTAGCAACATCTACAAGTAATTTTGTTTGGAGTTGCTCATGAAACTTACATCAATTATTGACCGAAGCTCACTCCTGTCCACAAAGCCATTGCCGTCTTTGTCATACACCTTGAACGACCAGCGCAGTTTGTGCTCCAAGTCTCCGCGGAAAACAAGGTTAAGTGCTGCCACAAACTCAAGAAAATCAATTGTGTTGTCCTAAAACATAGGTTAAACAAAACAAAACAAAAATGCTTACATTTTTATAGATTGTATGACCTACATTAAGACAAATTTTTATTCATTTTTTTTCTCACCCCATTTTTGTCAAAGGCTCGAAACATGTTCTCTGCATATTCCGAAGCTTCTCCTGTTGCATCCACTCCAAAGAAACGCTTGAACTCGTGAAGAAAAAGGACTCCGCTCGGGCACTCCGTGACAAATTTCTTGTACATATCCTGAAGGGCTTTAATATCAATCTCCTCACTGCTCCCTGTTTGCTGTGTCTGTCCCATAACTAAACACAACAGTCCATCGTCTGCTAGTCAGTGAGCTCGATCACAAAGTGGCCTGACTTGAAATGGGAATCTCTTGCCCTGAGGTGATTTTCTTTTTTTTTTTTTTGTCTGTGTGTGTGTGTAAGCCTTCAGAATCCTCTTTTGGAATTGTTCTATTTGTGCATGAGCCAAGTGATTACTGCAGCTTCAGGATTAGTCTGGTATTATGTTGGTAAGACCTCCTCTCACCGGGTTACTTAGGTATGTAATCAAATTCTTGTCTGGGCCAATGCAAAATTTAAGGTATATGCATAGCGGTTATTGGAACATTTTCCTTAATATTCAGAAATAATAAATAAGTCAATATTTAGTACGTTAAACGGTACAATCTAAGAAATATATTTTTAGATAAATAAAATAAAGTTGCTGTCCAAATTGTTGTGTGAAATTTCTGTTTAGAAATTCTGCCAAGCCTCAATGTGTTTGTGCCATGATTCAGAGAGAAAATTGAGGCCCAAGCCCAAGTTTATGAGACATGATGCAGACAAATGAAAATAAAATGTTTTTTTTTTTCCTGCTTGCTCTCGATGAAGGCGGATGCTTTTCCATCCTGCTTCCGCTTCCCTCCTGCTTTGCTCTTTGTCCTGTGAACCCTATCAGAGCCTCTCTTTTCATATCTTCGGATTGTAAATTATGAATCTGGTCAGCTGGTCTTTCAACGCAATTGATAACATTTTTTCAATGAGAAGACAGAGCAAAGAAGAGCCCTTTTGCTCTGATGGGACACTTGCAACTGGATACACACTGGATTCCTGGGGACAGTGGAAGATGGTGTGCCTGTCCATATTGTTAATTGAGGATGTAGAAGACACGTACATAATTTAATTTATGATAACAGGATTTCTGCTTTTTGGAGTTGGCGGTTACCTGGCATATCAACAATAAGGGAACACATTGGCATCTGGCCATTGTGAGGCTGCCCAGCATGTGTGAAGAAATGTGCCGTGCTGTGAACACTCAGACTCAGATGCTGTGTCAGCTGAGCCATAAACTGGACACAATTTCTGAGAATCGCAGGCCACTTGTGGCTCCTGAAACTCACTGGCGAGAAGGAATCGACCTTGTAGAAGCTACAAGCTCGGCCCAGTGGTGTTGACCACAAAATTTGACTTTTTGGAGTTGCCATTGAGACATACCAGTAGAACTATAAGGCAGACAGAAATTAAGCAGAGTCGGCCAGACCCAAATAACTGTTGTTATCTGAATCTGGCTCCCCCGTGTCAGAGTCAGAGATTCTTTATTGTCGTTCGCACCACATGTGGTACATGTTGTGGAACAAAGTTATGTACACAGGATCCCAGTTACATCCAACAATAAAATGTAAAAGAAAAACAGTGATAACATCTAAGATATGAACTAAGAAAAACATCAACTAAAAATACACTAAGCACTGATAGCATAAAAACATTACGTCGAACAGCAGCACAAACATGAGTCTGTGTGAGCAGATGAGCACACATGAACACAGCAACATGAAATAGATCAGCAGCAACATGATGTGATTTTTTCACAGTGATTATTCTGGTTAGATATTCATGAGTCTAACAGCCTCAGGGTAGAAGCTGTTCCTCAGTCTAGTTGTTCTACACTTAATGCTCCTTAACCTCCTTCCTGAGGTGAGTGGGGCAAAAAGTGTGTGTGCTGGGTGAGTGAGGTCCTTCATGATGCAGGTGGCCCTCTTCCTGCATCTAAAGGTGTAGATGTCTGTGATGGTGGGGAGACTGACTCCGACAGACTTCTGTGCAGCCTTCACCACTCTCTACAAAGCTTTTATTTCTGCAGCTGTGCATCCTCCATGCTACACGTTGATGCTGGAGCACAGGATGCTCTCCACTGCACACCTGCACACCTTAATTTTGAAATTTTATGTGGTGATTTTGGTCCAACCATTAGGTGGTTCATTACAGGTTTGATTAAAAAGTTGTTATAGATGCTAATGGCTGTGGCACCCACAGCAGTCCATCCCAAAGCAAATCTGAAGTAAAATTTTTAATCTTTTTGTATTTTATTGTGAAAACTTTTCTGACGTGTTTGGTATGTGCAGTGCTACAGAGTGGCAAGCTATAAATGGGTGGTGCTTGCAAACCGCACCTCAGTTTACCGTGACTCTTCTTTTCTTCTTTTGACTTTCCCTCTTCAGGGGTTGCCACAGTGAGTCATCCTCCTCCATCTCTGTCCTCTGCATCCTCTGTCCTCAATCCAACTACCTCCATGTCCTCTAACTGCATCCATATAGCTATTCTTTGTCTTTTTTTCCTGGAGGCTGCATTACTAGCATCTTTCTACCAATATACCTACTGTCTGGGTCTGTCTGTTTGGACTGTCCCTTTTCTGGACATGTCCAAACCACCTCAGTCTGGCCTCTCTAACTTTATCTCCCAGTTGTTCAACCTGTGCTGTACCTCTGACAAGTTAATTTCTAATATTATTAATCCTTGTCACTCTTAAGGAGAACTTCAACATCTTCATTTCTACCACTTCCAGTTCTGTCTCCTGTATTTTTGTCAGTGTCTCTGTCTCCAGACCGTACAACCTAGCTGACCTCACCACTGTCTTGTAAACTTTTCCTTTGACCTTTTTGTTGACACCCTTTTGTTGTAAATCACTCCTGAAACTTTTCTCCATCCATTCCATCCTGCCTGGACTTTCTTTTTCACCTCTTTACCACACTCCCCATTTTCCTGGGCATTGGACCCCGAGTACTTGAAGTCCTGCATCTTTGTGACCTCTGCTCATTTTAGCCTCACTGTTCCACCAGCCTCCCTCTCATTCACACGCATGTACTCTGTCTTACTACGCTGACTTGTTTAATTTCTCTTCTTTCAAGTGCATACCTCCACCTCTCCAAGTTCTCTTCCACCTGTTCCCTGTTCTCGTCACAGATCACAATGTCATCTGCAAACATCATAGTCCATGGGGTTTCCTGCCTGGCCTCACCTGTTCCTCTGTCCATCACCAGAGCAAACAAGAAGGGGCTCAGAGCCGATCCTTGATGCACTCCCACCTCCACCTTGAAGTTATCGGTCACTCCTACAGCACATCTCACCACTGTCCTGCTGTCCTCATACATGTCCTATACCAGTCTAACATATCTCTCTGCCACTCCAGATTTCCTCATGCAATACCACACCTCCTCCCTCAGCACTCTGTCAAATGGTTTTTTGTTGTTGTTTTTTTTCTAAATCCACAAAGACACAATGGAGTTTTTTCATACCCTCTCTGTACTTCTCCATCAGGGTCCTCAAAGCAAAGATGCATCTGTGGTGCTCTTTCTTTACATGAAACCAAACTGCTGCTCACAGATTTTCACCTCTTGTCTAAGTCTAGCTTCCACAACTGACTCCGTGACTCATATTAATGAGCACAATTTGTAATGTTGTTAAACTTTTTTTTATTTATGCAGAATAAACATGCTAACAATACATACTGCTAACGGTAGCTGTCTTTCAAATGGAAAGAAAAAAAACGGAAACTTTATTAAAAGTAGCTTAACATATTTTATTTTTAAAGAAGAAAATTACATTTTAGTTCATGTAAGTCAAAAGCGTAAAAGAACAACAACAATAACAGCATCAACAAAAACGGTATACATTCAAACAAGAAAGTGGTTGTTAATTTTTAAAAGGTACTGACTAGCTTGATCCAACAATTTTCAGTCAGGTCATCTGGACAGTTTCTTTTTTTTCTTTTTTGGTGCTGAAACAAAAAAAAAAAAAAAACTGTCCAGATGACCTGACTGAAAATTGTTGGATTGTATACCTGGATTATTGAGCATGGACTTTGTTGACTTGCTTGATGTGTATCATTTTGTACTTTGTCTAACAAAATGTCCAAAATGCAAATAAAATATCTGTTGTTTTATATAAACAATGTCAGCCTTTGGTAGTAGCTCTAAGTCAAAAGCTGTTGGGTACCTGACGGAATAAGTAAAATGTGTATATTCCATTCATGTCTCAAATGGGCAAATCAAAAAAAGAAATGTGTTTTAACACACTATTATAGGCAAGTCTACTTCTGTTTATTTTTTAATTTATATAACTTGCAGCATGAAGTGCTTTATAGTATATAGATTTAAAAGTCAAATTTTTGAACTAACTTTGATACATGGAATACAATAAGCTTTAAGTCCCTCAGTTAGTCTTCATTCTTGTCTGTTCCTTTTGTTGTTTTTTTATTTGTTATATAACATAAAAAAATGAAAAGACCTTCATATACAGTAATAACTAAACCTACAGATAATGGTATAATTAATCCAATAATACAATGAATAATGTATTAACGTTTTGACACAATTCATTTTGTTTTCATTGGCTGGCAGTCAGCATCTAGTGTGTTCTGGCTCCACCAGTCACGGCTCACCTGCACCCATGGGCAGTACTTTGGTGTCTGTTTGGCATTCCACTGTGACCCCCTCAGGAAGGAGAGGCCTCCAGGGTAGGGGCTACTGAACAGCATCCCCTTGCAGAATTGCAGAGGTAGTGGTAGAAGAGGTCATTCACCTAGATCTGACACTACTAATCAATTATTTTGAGTGTTAACAAATGTGACACACCACAACCCTTCTTCAGAACTGTCGCTGACCTGTAGAATCTTCAACATGTTCAAGGCCGACCTCCAGAGCAAGTCAGTATTCTAGTTGAATGATTTTAGAGATGATGTCATACTATGACAGCCAATCAGATCTTAGCGCCACTAATCACATCATCACAGCTCGCTCGGCAGTTGTACACTCTCATTTGCCTAACATACCCCCTGCTCCCAACAAATCCAAGAGAATCTGACATTTCAAGCTAACACGTTTTGCCAAAATTCAGCAAACACACGATATGTCCACTTAACAAACTGACACACAAAACAGGGATTTTAATGAAAATGAGGAGCAGACGATTCTAAGATTTAGGAAAATAAAAGTGTGTTGAGTTGTTGAACTGCTGAAGAAAAATAATGCTAAAAAAGTAAATGAAAAACAAAGTGGAAAA